TCTTCTATCAATGTAAAACTATTAACTGTATTTTGTAGTTGTGACCAATATTAAAATTTGTAATTGCTTATAGAATTTTTGTTAAGAGCATATTGCAAAACACTTTAATTGATCGAGAACAAAATGAAAGGGCAAAAGCCACAGAGCGGGAACATGTAAGGAATATAAAATAATAAGTGCAGTTTTTTAGATAAAGGTTTGTGTTTTATCTCACAGTCACACATCATTGCGACAACGGCAAAAATTCTGAAAATGTTAATTTAGATTTTTAGTCCGTAGTTATAAGTTATATTTTAATTTATTTATTATCCATTTAATTAGTTTTAGATTAGTTGTAAGTAACTCTTGATGTTGAAAAATTACATCAGTAAATACTTAAATATGTGAATAAACTAATAAGATAAAATAAAGTATCGTTTTTCTTTCGTTACATGTATGTATGTATATTCCCTGAACATACCATATACATTCACTGAACATACCATGTACATTCCCAGAAAATAGACATGTATATTCACTGAACATACCAGGTACATTGTCAGAACATAGACATGTACATTCACTGAACATACCATGTACATTCCCAGAACATACCATGAACATTCAGTGTATTAACTCTGACAGACTCCTGGGACATCCATGGAATGTTCATAATGGAACTCATGTATGTCCCAGGAATATACATGTACATCACATGAATGTTCCAGGTATATTCTGGGAATATCATTTTGCTATGTGGGTAGTTTTCAAGATCACAAAATGACTCCCAGATATGATTAGGAACTTGGCGTGATTGTAGAAAATTCCGAGTTTCTGACACTTTGCAAAACACTGCCACTTATGGGAACGTTTGCTTGTCTTTTTTGAGTAAACCAGTTAATAAGTCCCTTGTCAACCTCTTCATGTGCAGATAATTTTAACTTCTTACATCTAACATTTGTTTTGTCATACGCTGATAAAATGTTTTCTCTGGTTTTCCATATTGTTGCAACAGTAGACTTTCCAAGTGCTAATTCCTTA